AGGCCCTTTGCTCGTTGATATCTGTTGTTGTTGTTGATGATGTTGTTGTTGATGTTGTTGTTGATGTTGTTGTTTACGTTGTTGATGTTGTTGTTGTTGATGTTGTTGTTGATGATGATGATGATGAGAATGAGAATGATGATGTTATCACTGTCGTCAGTAATGTTCCGTCTCTCCGAACCAATCATATTCCGACCTCAATCTCATTCGATATCATTCAACCAATCAAATTCAAACCTCAGCTAACCTCTCTGAACCTATCATATTGCAGCAATCTTGAGTAGGCGGAAATTCCTGCTATGATGAGGCGTGGTCTGAAAAGGCGGGCTGTCTCTTGCAGTTTGTCGTAATCTATGTAACCCGTCTTGGGCTTTAAAGGTTTGAAAAAACTTGATTGGCAGATCAATTGAAAACACGATTGAATGAATGATTGAATAAATGAATAAACGAATGATTGATTTAATGAATGAATGATTGATTGAATGAATGAATGATTGAGTGATTGATCGATTGAGTGATTGATTGAGAAACATCTAATTAAACTGACGTTTAACTTATATGGCATGGACTCAAAAAAGATTGATGTTGCGGAGATTCTTCTAGCGTCCGTCATGAAGCCGTGGGTTAAACTGGATCGAGTTAGTTTTTTAGTGTGGGATTGATTGGTTGATTGATTAATTAATTGATTGATTGATTGATTGATTAATTGATTGATTGATTGATCAATCGATCGATCTATCCTATAAACTAATAACTAAATAACTCCAAGTTTATCTGATCAATCTCTCACATTACTCTCAACACCAACTTAACTTACTGGCCCCCGTCCGGAAGGTCAAGGCCCATAATTCGGTCGTGGGGTTTTAGGAGGGCAGTAAAAACGGCAAAATTAGCGGGACTGCCAGAGTAGGGTTGTACATTAACGCCCCATTTTTCAGGGTCGAGATCGTAAAGTTCAAGGGCTCTTTTTTGGCAGAGTCGTTCGATTTTATCAATGTATTCATTGCCTCCGTAGTATCTGTGATGATAATGTGATGAGACGAGTGGTTATTTGGTTGGTTAGGTGACCGATTGAATGAATGAATGAATGAATGAACGAACGAATGAATGAGTGAATGAATGAACGAATGAGCGAATGAACGAAAGAGCGAATGAACGAACGAACGAATGAATGAATGAGTAATTTTCATCGATTGTAGGCTGATTGATTAGTAGCAGATTAATAAAATGCTATAACAATGGAATGAGTAATTCCAGTAAATAAATAAATAAATAGATAATTGATGGTTAATTAATCTATAAATCGATTGATTGATTGATTGATTGATTGATTGATTGATTGATTGATTGATTGATTGATTGATTGATTGATTGCTTGATTGATTGATTGATTGATGAACTAATAAACAAGTGAATGGTTCTGATTGGTCAATCAAAACTCCTCCCACCTGGCCCCAGGATATCCTTCTGAATATTTATTAGTCAGGCAGCTACCCAGTGCTTCCATCACAGCCCGACTTGTAAAATTCTTTCAAATTTATAATATAATGATAATAATAACGATTATTATAATTGAATTATCTAACTTTATACAGGTACATACATTCATATGTATCTATTTAGGGGATTTTTAATTCATGAAAAATTTCCAGAACCTAAAAACTTAATCAAGTTGAAATTTATAATCAACCATTTTCTCAACATCTATCTAACCTCAGATGCAATAAGTTCTAATCCAGTCATCTGCCTAATTTTCTCCTTCCTAATGATGGCCATAATTTCCGGATCATTTTCTGCTAGCGGGGATTTCCCAGTCCATAAGTGAGAGTGGCTAATTGATGATTGGCATCTGCTGAAGGCCTGCCGAACTAGTTTTGAAATCTGAATTTTTAAAAGTCTACTTAGATGACAATTTTAAACTTTGAAGGTGTTATGCTGTTACAAGATTCATAATTAATTAAATTAAACCATTGTAATGAATTCATCATAAAGAAAGAAGGAAGTAGATAAATAAATTATATGAATAAATGAAAGAAATAAAAAAATGAATAAAACCAAGAGTCATCTTATCATTCACCTTTAAATGGCTGCAAACAGACATAATAAGTCCTAGGCTAACACAATCTGTCTTTAAATTAAAATTTTCATTGTGATGAATATATATAATATATGTGTGTGTGTTTATTGTATGTACGTGTGATTAAAATATGTTGTATTTAAATATAAACACATAACACACACACACACACACACACACACACACATATATATATATATATATATATATATATATAATTATTTATCAAAATTCAAAATCAAATCAAAATCAAAGAAATTTCAAATCAAATTTTTACCTATTTTAAACTGAATTTTTGATCCTTGATTCTGAAATAAAATAAAATCTATAATTATTATTATTATTATTAAAATAATTATGGGTTGTTTTGGGGTTTTAAATTTTCAAAATTGACCATGTCGTCGTCGTGGTCTTTACACGTTTTAACGTTACATTTTATTTTTCTTTTAGAAAAAACAAACACCAACACTAAAATAATCAAATAAAGCAAACAAATAAATAAGTGACATCTCACTATTTTAACATTTTAACGTATAAAAATGAATTTAATACAAAAAAACGTACCCAGCTTAAATCATCCTTCCGTAAACTTTGACTCAGACAGATTTCTATCTTTTCAAATTGAACTTCGAACAAGTGCACGACTTTTGTATTTAAATCTATTTTTCATTTGTGATTTTAATTTTGTGGAGCTTAACTTTTATACATCTTCCTCGTCTTTCTCGTGCCTTATCCTTTCAGGACATTGGCGACCATCGACCTCCCCAAAACCCAATCTTCAACACTTTGTAGTAGTTAAAATGTGGTGATATTCAACAAGTGACCCTAGGATCTCACAAATGTTGTTCGTTGTTGACCGCGATCTCCTTTCCCCGCAATCTTTCCAGTAGTTGTTAGATTTTCCATTCTTACCTTTCGCATGATGTCAAGATTTCTGACCTCATCACATCATATTCACATATGCCCATATACGCAAAAACTATATACTGTACGTTTATTATATACCCGTGAAATTACTTAAAAGAATATCCTAGTACCACTATCATATCCCGTTTTAATTATGTATTTATAATTAATCAATCAACTAATTGGCCGATTGACTGATTAATCAATCAACTAATTGTGAAAATAAAATCAATTAACTTTCGACTAATTCTAACATTCACGACAGAAATACATAACACAATCTATGTTTATTTATTCAATCGATAAATTAACCCTTTTGAACACTCATTAATATCGTTTAGTAGGTAAACGTAGCGACGCCAATCATTCAATCAATCATTCATTCAATCAATCATTCATTCAATCAATTATTCATTCAATCAATCATTTATTCAATCACTCAATCGTGTAATATGAAAACTAATTAAATCAATCGATTAAATGATCGATCGATCAGCCAAACAAACAACCGTTTACATACATAGGAAAGGTAGAAACGTCAACCAACCAATCAATTAAGCAATTAACTAATTAATCAGCCAATTAATCAATCAACCAATCAATTAAGCATTCCACTAATTAATCGGCCAATAAATCAACCAGCTAATCAATCAATTCTTTAATATTACCACAAATGACTTATACTTTGTTAAAATATATATTATATATTATGATAAAAACAAAGTTAACAATAAAAATAATAATGTTAATAATATTAGCTATCAGAAAATAAAACCAACCATAATGTTTATCATCAATATTAATAATAATAACAATCATAATAATTATAAATATTATTGGTAATAAAGTACAAAAGAACAAACGAATTCCAGGAAATAATAGGAAAAAATTCTAATACTAAAGAGCATATGCATTGCTAAATAAAACACACACAAACAAACACACATACACACAAGCAAACACACATACACACACAAACAAACAAACACGTTTCTGATATATAAACCATCAGCAGCAGTAATAAAAATACTAACAAATATATATATACCAACAAAAATATACATTGTACATGCATAAATATTATAGCATGCGTGTGTATATATGTACGTGTGTGTGACTGTGCGTGTGTATGTGCCCTTGTATGCGTGCTATAATGGTACAATGTTTGAAGCTGTTGACAATACCATCAATCAATCAATCTATCAGTTTTTTCGTTTAAGTTTAATCCGTATAAATTTGCCTGTTGCTACTTTTTCTCCGTGTTTGTCAGAGAAAAGGAGTCTGATTTACAGGATGTAAAAAAATATTCTCAGTTGTACAGGAGATGTAAGAAATGTTTACGAAAAAAAGTTATTTAGAAAATTAAGTGAAAATATGGATTGACAGTTTTATCTTAATTTAGAACGTAAAATCGATATATATATATTATATATATATATCGATTTATATAACCATCAAATCATCTTATATTACATTATACATATTGTTGTTGTTATATATATATATATAAAAAAAATTTTGGTTTTGAACTCAAGAAACTTGAGAATGATTTACGGTCAGCCGTTAAAAAAATCGAAAAGTTAAATCGCTGAACGTGCTGTAATTTTCATCAATAATTGAATTTCTGACAGTCTTAATCCAATATATATATATATATATATATATATATATATATATATATATATATATATATATATACATCTATATATATATATGATTCTAAAGTATAATATAGCCGAGTTTGGTAAAAAGTTTTGAACAGTGGAGTGAAACGTAACGGCTGAAATTGTGTCTAATTTAGAATGAAATTGATTTTTTTTTTAAATTTGTTAAGAGTTGTTAAGAGTAACCATCAAATCATCTTCACCATTATCACCATCAGCAAATATATCATCATCATCATTACCATCAACAACAGTTACATCATCATCACCATCAACAATTACATCACTATCATCCTCGTCATCATCATCATCATCATCATCATCAATCTTACTACCACTAATACATCATCATCGTCAGCAGTTACAATAAGATTGAAGACGTTATCACCGTAGCAAGGAGGGGACAAACACAAAGAAATACGAATGACGAAATAATATAAAAAAAATTATAATAAAAAGAAATTATATTTAAATAATTAAATAATTATATGTAAATTATAATAAATTAATATTCCTCGGCAACTTCTTCACCGTCAGCTGCTTCAAAACCATCCTGAAAAAAAAAAATTTTTTTTTAAATTGAAAAAATGATAATAAAAATCATCATTGTTATTATTTACGGCCCAAAAACTCCCAAAATTTAAAAAAGCACATCACTATTCCCTAATTTCTTAGACCGGCCCCCACGCGAAAACTTACAGCAGTAGCATATAGTATCTCGAGAAGTTGTTTAACGAAAGGAATGTCGTCATTCTCGTGCTCCTGGCAGACGATCTCGATGTCTCGTAATTTCGAAAAGTAAAAATCTCTCTCCTTACTTATTATCTCGTTGTTTGCTGTCAACTCTGCCACCTAGTGAGTGGGGATAGAATGTTTTTCTTATTTTTTTTAGCAATTATTATTGTTTTTTGTATATAACTAGATACATCATCATCATCATCATAACTATCCTAATAAATATCATCGTGACCTGTTGTACAAGTTCCTCAACCTTGACAGAGTCACCTTGACCTCTGTGATGCTGTTGGGCATTAGTGGCTGATGATGAAAGCTTGACCTTGCTACCTGGCGGAGTGCCAGGACCTTTACTGACTGTATGTGAGTGCACGCATGCAAGTAAGTACATGTGTGTGTGTGTGTGTGTGTCTGTGTGTGTGTATGCGTGTGCTTGTGCATTTTTGTAGAGGCGTACATGAGTGTACGCGTAGGTACATCTGTCAACTTGTACACCTGTGTATTTTTATTCTTCAGCAATGAAAAGTAATTGTACCCACCCAAGGCAGTTTTACTTGAAGCAGAAGATTGTGGTTTGTTGTAGCCCTTGCTTAAGCCACCAGCAGCGTGTGTAGTTTTGCGGGCTCCACCACCACCCAAGGGGCCTAAAGTCTCACCCCCCCTTGCTGCTACTGGGTCATATTCCTGACCTGTCGAAGAATGGCACATCTAACTTAATGATACTATTCTATTGGCAATCATTGTCATTGTATTATCATAAATATCATCGTCATCATCATATAACCATCGCGACATCAATATCATCATCATATAACCATCACGACATCACCGCCACCACCATGAGCCCCCAACCGACCGGCATAATTAGCATCAAAAAATTTTTTGAACCACTGGACAAATTCAAAGTTGTCCTGGAAACGACCCTTCACTAATTTTTCAACAGGAATGATCTGGAATGATTGGGGGAGGAGTGAGGAGAGAGAGAATGAATGTGGGGATGGGGAGAAAAAGAGAGAGTAAAAAAGAGAGCGAAATAGAGAGAGAAAAAATAAAATAATCAACATAATTAATTATAGTGCAGAACAATAATTGTAGATCTCATATAACAAAGCTAAACAAACTGAATAGCCAAAAAAACCAAATAGAGACATGTAACAGAAAACACCAAATAGACCCCTAACCTTATCAACCCCAGTTTTCTTGAAGGCTCCCTGCAGGGCCTTGAAATTGTTGATACTCTCGTGCTCCAGGCTCGAGTTCATCTTTATCTTTTTCAAAACAACTGAACCTAAATCAAAATTTCAACTATTTCATCCTAATGTTTTAGTGTGACAACATATCCCACCGCACACGCACGCACACGGACACATAAAAGAACACGCGTACACACATACATACAAACAAACAAGCAAACAAACAAACAAACAAACAAACAAACATACCGGGGAACAAAAGATCCATGAACTGACAGTAAGCAGCACCTAGTAAGATAAGGATTGGTATAAGTATTGAAACTTTTATTTTCATCAAAACTCATTTACAATTTATTGCATTTTAACTTATAAATCAATCTAGTGAAATCTGATAAAACTGATTTTATATAAACTAAAGTGAAGAAAAATTTATGTACATCAATTAATTAAAACATTGAATAGTTAGAGGAATAAATAGAAAGTCCTCCATAATCACTAATTCATAATAATATGTATGTATGTATGTATGCTTGTATGTATGCTAGTATGTATGCTTGTATGTTTGCTTGTATGTATGCTTGTATGTATGCTTGTATGTATGCTTGTACGTATGCTTGTATGTATGCTTGTATGTATGCATGCATGCATGCATGCATGTATGTATGTATGTATGTATGCTATTAGTTTATTACTGTGGCGTGGATTTTTGTATCATATACTTATCTTATCTTCTACTTATAAATATATATATATGTATGTTAGCCATATATATGTATATGTATATATTATGTGTGTAGTTCTATTTTATGAAGCAATACAATTGACCGTATATATATATATATATATATATATATAACAACCATTCCTTGTCAATTAATCACTATTAAGGAATTACTAATTACCAGAGCAGAGTTCTTCAATCTTTGAGTAGTTTGCCTGCAAACTGTCATTCACCCAAGCCAGAATTTCATGTCTGCTCAAGTTCTCCAGTGTCACACTCGTACTGTACACATTGACGGCCGTCATTTTTTTTTCTATTTTAATCTTGGAAGAGAGACTAACATTTTAAAAATTTAATTAAAATAAAATGAAAGAGGAAAATTTAAAAGTTTGAAAATTAAAGTTAATTAATTGATAACAATTTAGTCTTTTTTGCGAGACAAAGTTCAAATAATAATAATGATGATCAGAAAATAATTTTGATTTTTTAAAAAATCAAAATAATCTGTCAGAAATACTAAAAAAATTGTGAATTATTCTATTCTATTATTATTACTGTTATTCCAATTATTCTAAAAATCGTTAAAATTAGGTACCTAATTTTAACAACTTCACGATTAATTAAAAAAATGTTGAACAATAAATTCTTAAAAATAATAAAAATTTTAAAAATTAGCCGGTGCTAGCAACACAAACAGCACAGGTGACCGCGCTGAAATAAAAAAGGAAGATGGAAATAACTAATTTAAAGATTAAAATAAGTCGGTAAAAACCTCAAAATATAATAAAAATTATATTTAATTAATTCTAACTTTAAAAATGGAAATTTTTGAAAAAAAATGAGTCAATTTTGATGAAATAATAAACCTAGTAAGATTTTCAGAGCAACTAATAGCACGAAAAAAGTTGATAATCACGTGTTACCAGGATAGAGTGTAGCTAATGGTACCAAATAGATTTTTAACCATTAGTAATAAAGTAAATAAAGTTAATGAACTTCAGGGTTTCCGTAAGGGATTTAAATATTTTTAGAATTTGAAGTGTAAAAAAAAATAATTTCTTTATTCACGGCAAAGAAATGCGACGTCTGGTTTCAGAATAAATCACAGTATTGAAACTTCTTTACTTAAAAGTCATAACGTTGGAAAACTTGAATATAGGGATAGACTAAAAGAATGCTGATTAACAACACTAGAAAGGAGAAGATCTAATTCAGCATTTAAGTTAATAACTGATGAAGAAGAAACACCGTTCAACAGATTATTATACATTTTCAGGCTCAGGAGTTTGACTACTACATGAATCTTGTAAAAAAAAACTACCCGTTATATTTACTATTATATTATCAGCGCCACAGCTCAAAATAATCGAGCTATAGTACGTCATCCATTTCAATTTATCAAAAATTTTGCAAAGGGTTCTTATTGGACCCTAATACAGTTCTGGCAGCAAATTATTCTAATCGATCGAATGTTAAACAACGCTCGTTTTTGGGTTTTTATTGCTGTGAAGGTTTTTTTTTAATTTGTCTATTTCTATTGCGTTTTTTAAAAGTTTTAATTAAAATTCGTCTACCGGTTTATATTTTATTTCGCATTTACTTTTTTAAGGTGGTCGGTTTTGCTTTCATTTTTATGATCGATTATAATTTTTTGAAAAAATTAGTTAATATTAGTGCATTCTTGCTGTTTGATGGTTCTTTTGCACAGGAAGAAGTCTGTCCTGTCTCTTTCAATTAAATTCATTTTTTATTATTTTTTTTAAGTCTGCAGATTTCTCTAAAAATAAATTTTGTTTTTTAATTATTCAATTATTTAATATTTTAATTGGTTATTCATCTTCATATACATATCTTATGTTAAAAATGTTATTTTTTCAACGATTTCTTAAATTTAATCTACAGCAAACAAATGATAAACATGAATGTGGGTGGCAAAAGAAGTTATACATTTATTCATCAAAATAATGATGATGAGGTTGGTCGAATTATATTATAATTATTTCTATATTTGTCTGTCTGTGTATTTATGCATTTACATGTCTGTGGGTAAGTCTTTTCGGGAATTCATTCATGATCTATTTCATATATATATTCATAATATTATGTTCAAAACCTTTTCTTCAATTTTGTAACAAATTCAATTAAATTTTGTTATCTATGTATATTCCCAGCTCATTGATCTGCCAGTGAAAAAGAGGTTTTTCGATTATAATGGTGATCCACACTATCATCAATCCCAGCAGCATAACATTCACCATCAGATTCATGATGAGAATCGTAGTTACAGCCACATCTGGACAGCCCAGTGTTACGGCAATCACGATGAAGTGAATTACATTAGAAGATTTTAGACATTTTAAAAATCCATCTCTAATGTATATTTATTTGTTTGTCACTTCAGCTGGCTTAATAAATAAATAAATTAATTAATTCATTCATTCATTTTTTTCAGAATTCCAATGAAATGCAGACAGATTCATTCTCAAAGGATCGTCATCAATTCAACAACAACAACAACTGTCATCATAGTCTGGAAAATCATCATTATCAGGATCACCCTGAAAGCACCAACAATCAGGATCACCACAACAAGAACAATGGTAATAATCTCGATGACGTCAACGATTGCAACCGTGGTCTCCTCTGTGACAACCGCGATAACAACACTAATACTTTCAATTCTGGCGGTGATAGTAATGATAATGTTGTTGGAATGTTGAATGAACAACAGCAACAAACAGTTATGATGTCACCAACATCAGCTGTGACGTCATCATCGGTGACATCATCATCGATGACAGCGAGTTTTTCTTGGAAGCCCCATTCGGAGCCTAATTATTATAAATGCCAGATCTTTTTCTTTTAAAGTTTATATTAATAATAATAATATTATTATTATTATTATATTAATAATAATAATATTATTATTATATTAATAATAATATTATTATTTTGCAATTATTATTTATTAGTCTCGTTGTTATTGTTATTTTTGTTGTTATTACCATTATTATTTCATCAAGTTTTTGGTTATTTTCCATTGGCAAATGAAGAAGCAGTGTTTTAAGACAGTGTTCCCATGTTTTATAAGTTTTGCGTGTGCGTGCGTGCGTGCGTGCGTGTGTGTGTGTTTTTTATTTTTAAACAAATACGGATTTTCAATAAATCCTTAAATCTAATCCCAACATCCTAGAAATGCTTTTTAGGTGCTATTTGTCATTGAAAATACATTCAGATTTGTCATTTCTTCCTGTTTCTGTCATTATTATTGCCCTTATTCCTTATTTTATTACCATTTTATATTTTCATCATCGTCAACTGTTCATCATATCGGGGTATACGTCTGTTAGAACACTCCCTAAAAATTGATTGGTTGATCATCGTCATCGTATCTACCATCACCGTCGTTGTGTTAGTTGTTGGAGTAGCAACCGCCCCAAGATGATGTGTTAGAACGTCTGACCCTCTTGTCATGTCATGTTCGCCATTTCACCATTGGTTTCATGTCAGTTTTTTCAGCATCTTTCATCATGCATTTGATCATCAGCATTATTTATTATCAGCGTCATCGTCGTCTTCATCATCGTCGTCGTCTTCATCGTCGTCTTCATCATCGTCGTCGTTTTCATCACCATCGGCTTTTTCAGTTCTACCGAACTAGTCTGCTACCCGGTAGCTAATGTCATTTTGGAGATATAGTATGAATGAATAAGTTTGTTTAAAAAAATATATATAAAAAATATTCGTGTATTTAAACATTTATCATCCTCTTTGGGAGGTTTTAATCTGTTCTCTCTGTTTGTCGTTCATTTTCACTCTCTCTTTTTTCTTTCTTACTCTCTCTCTTCTCTCTCTCTCTCAGGTATATAATTACTTATATCATATGAAATGGTGGTAGTGTTATTTAGAATTTTTATGTCATATGATCTGATTTGCTTTCTAAGGAATGGTTTAGCATCTAGCACGTTATCATCATTATTACTATCGTTTAGGTGTTTTATTTAAATTATATAATATTACTAGATATATATATATATTATAATATTTATATTATATTAATATTATGCTGCTAATATGATTTAACGTATTTCCATATTATTAGTTGTAATACCTATAAATACCTTTGTACACAATTATGTATTGCAATAAATTCTACAGTAATTTCAGCGCAACTTTGCTTAAACTGTTACAGGCGAATTTGCTACATGCTACAAGCCAATTAATGGCAGTAGGGCTATGGAATTTGTAGAATACTTTATTGGTATTTTTCCTATGTGTGTTTGTGTGTATGTATGTTTGTGTGTGTGTATGTATGTATGTATGTTCATTGGCTACATAGTAAAGTAAATGTTATAGTAGATATAATTGTTGCTATCTGAGCTGATAGAAATACAATTAACTATTTTATTCCTAGAAATATCACTCTCTCTATCTATCTATCTCTATTTTTCAGTTGTATTACCTTTAGCTTTCTTATTTCCTCTCTCTCTCTCTCTCTTCTCTCTTTTACTTGTCAATATTATTTTCACTATCTCTCTCATAACTCTTCTTATCATTTTATCAATAAAGCTGGTCAGTGGTCGCTTTTATTCTCGTTATTTTAAATTATGAGTTTACTTGTCATCTTGTTATATATATATATATATATATATATATATATATATATATATATATACATGTGTGTAATTCCTCCCTTCGTAAGCTTTGGTGGTGTCAGTTATTTAATGCATGGATTCATTATATATATATATATATATATATATATATATATATATATATATATATATATATAATGTATCCATGATTCAATGTTATTGTTAATGCTCCGTATTCCATTTTCTATTTATTGGTTATAGGTGATAATTTTGAAAAAATTCTCCGTCATCTCTCTTTTTTTCTTACTATCTTATCTTGCTCTCTCACTCGTGTTCTTTTTTATTACTTCTATATGTATATATATCTCTCTCTTTATTTCAATTCTTCCTTTTGTTACAATCTATCTCCTTTTCCACTATTCTTTGTTCCTCCATTTCTTTCACTTTCTCTCTACCGTTCATTCTCTCTCTTGTCCACTCTCTCTCTCTCTCTTGTTCTCTCTCTTTCTCTCTCTTACACTCATTTTTCTTGTTATATGTATATAATTGTTAGTTTGCTTTATAGGCATGTATATTCAGTATTGTATAGCGGTTTACATTGCGTCGATACTACGTACGATAATTATGTGATGACATATAAAAATGAAAATTCTGTATCTTTATGTGTTTGTATGTATGCTGGTTTGTATTATGTACTTGTGTGTGTGTGTGTGTGTGTGTTGATCTATTTATTTCAGTCATAAAATCTTGTTGCTTACTACAAATCTCTTAATTAACATTTGTGGACAAGATCATTGTTAACAATGGAGCTCCTTAATTTGTATTTCATTTCAAATTAATACTTCAAACAAATCCGGAACAATTCTATGTTAAATAAATAAAAATAATAATAACTGTAACTATAATTAACAATATAAATAAAAAATAATTACGTACAAATAAGCGGGAAAAGAGATGGATGAATGATGAATTAATTAATGAATTAATTCACTAATAAGCAATTATGGTCCTTTCAAAAATTTTACATTCATTACCATTACTACTAATATTAATTTCATTAGTGTTGTCATTTTCATCATTATACGTATATATATATATATATATATATATTATATATGCAATTATTGAGTCTTAATCCTATATATATATGTATATATATATATTATATATATATTTAAATATATATATATATATATATCGCCTCTAATATATATATATATATATATTTATATATCAGATAGTCTCAATCCTATATATATATATATATATATATATATATATATATATATTAAGATCAACAATACAAGTATAGACAATAAAAAAACTCTACCATGAAAATAAATATGATCTAAATCATCCAATCATGGGGAAGGAATTATTTCAATGGGAGAGACACGTATTTGTCATTACCCACCATCTTGTGTGTGTGTGTATGTGTGTGTATTTTTTTACCTATGTACTGTATTTGTTTGTCTGTTTGTATCAATCAATTTATCTATCTATGTATGAATGTTTTTATCATTGAAAGTGTTCCGATAATCAAAAACAACAATGAAATATTTATAAATGAAAATTTGAAAAAAATTAAACTCTAAATGTGTTTGTATGCGTTAAATGTGTTTTTATGTATGTATGTGTATATGTATGTGTGTGTGTGTATTTATAATGTGTTTGTATATATGTATGTGTGTGTATTTATGTGTCTAACAATGGAAGAATAACAAGAGGAAATAACAAATTAATGGATTAAATTTTTATCTGATCATTTATTTCTATTGTATTTGGCCACATTTCGAAGAATAAACTATGATAATAGCTGTTTTATTTCCTTGACATCTGTGCAGTCGGCGTATGGGGTACCGTCTGGAGCTTTTCCTATTTTTGAGGCACCCTGATAAGTGAGAAAACATATTTATTCCTTTTTTATGGTTTGCTAGTGGTTTGGGGAGTTATGGTTGATTGGAATGTTTAATTTTGGTTAGTTAGTGTCTTGGCGAAGGAGTCAGTGATTGATTTTTTTGAATCAGTGACGAATTAGTCGTTGAGAAATTGCTAAAAATTGATGATAGATTAAATATCTACATTCTAATATTATTCTCATTACCATCTAGGTTACCTTTTCAATGAGATACTTAACGCAGTTGATGTGCCCTTCATAGATGGCCGATAGCAGAGGTGATATTCCGTGGCGATCTTTGACCTTTTTTTAAATTTCATTTATTTATTTATAATTAATTTCTTGCAAAACTTAATATAAAATGTTTGTATTTAATACAATAATTATGACATTTTATTATTGCTTTTATTTTAGGAAATGGTAACAAGGAAGCAAGAAATGAAGCAAAGTGACCAAATTTTTTCAGTTTTATCAATAATACTGGTTTCACATTTTTAAAATAAGGTTAATAAACAATATTTAAGTCAACTTCAAAGCAAAAGAACTTGAATTAATATTGAAATTCAAAATAAGACCTCATCAGTTTTGGGTTCAGGGTCAAAAAGTTTGACATTAATTTGAAGATACATTTTAAAAAATGTAAGAAAAGTTAAGCATAAAAGTGGGAAGAGCTAAAAGGCATGTCCTTCAATAGCACTATGTTAGTAGAATATCAATTACTGTTGTAAGTTATAATTAATGTGATTATATTATTACAATTGGAAATCTCTACAAGTTATAAATAATGTGATTATTACAATTGGATATCTCTATTCAACATTAAACTAGTTTTGGTCTAGTCCAGTTGAATACACCACAGCTTTAATAATCTATTAACATTGTCATTAAGATTAAGTAGTATATTAACTCACATTGATGTCAGCATTTTGAGATACAAGAAACTCAATGATGTCAATCTGTCCGTAATCAGCTGCCATGCAAAGTGGATAGCGGCCAGTCGATAGTTGCAAATTCACTAATCTTTTGTCCTAAAATTTCAATATTATTCTCTTTGGTTGGATCAATTGATTAATAATATTAGTTAGTGGACTGGTGATTGGTATTGGTCAGATTTTCATGGTTCATTACTACATATAATTTCTTTATTAGTTCATTTTAAATGTACTTTTAGAGTATATTTAAAAATCATTTATTAGTTAATTTATATTTATGTACTTTTAGTTTGAAATCATGTGGTTATTCATTTTAACTTTTTTCAAATTAAAAAAATTGTATTTTATTTAATTAGGAAGTGAACAATTTTTTTCAATTTTACCTTTTCGACGAGAGCTTTCACTTGATCTAGATCGCCATTTTTCAAGGCCCACTCAAAATTTTGAACATCCGCCGACATCTTTTAATGAACTTTAAAATTTAAACTAATTTTCGTCCTAAATAATGGTTTATTTTTACGGACAATCGGAAAAATCCGGCCCAAAGAAAATCCAACTAGACAAAGATAAAATAGAACTGAAATTAATTTAGAAATAATTTTCTGTCTCTAGGTGTCGCACCGTTATTAAATTAATTAATTCATTAATAAACTAATTAACGTCTGGTTCTGAATTCATCATTGAACCATTTAGGTGAAAAAACAACTAGAAAACATCAAAAACAATTTCAGTTTTTGCGTTTCATATTTGTTACTACAGTATTTATTATATATTATGCACTTAAATTTGTTAAAGCTTCCTATTGGGTTATGTTTCAGAATTTGGAAATGTTTGAAACTCTAATTACAAGAAACATTAATTAGACTCACAAACGCCACAAAATAAATCAATAAAACGATCCAAAAGAGACAACTGTTTGGTAAGATTCTAGCATGTATAAATAGCGTTGTTAACTTCTTTCATCTATGTAGAATAAAAAAAAAACTTTTTCTAACTCTAACCTCAACCATTACTCTCTCTCTCTCTCTCTCTCTCTCTCTCTCTCTCTCTCTCTCTCTCTCTCTCTCTCTCTCTCTCTCTACTACGTATTCCAGATTCTACACTTTATTCTTAAAGTAAAGCTGCTGTTCGTCTAATTGCTCGTGCCCCTATCTCTTCTCATATATATCTCCACTCCATACCTTGTTCTCTTACACTGGCTACCTTTAAAATACAGAATAACTTTTCGTGTTGGATGCGTCGTTAAGCATATATTCATATACGATGTTTGTCTTTTGCTGGTTCCTCTGACTGAACCTAAGGAGAGTTTAATAGAACATTTTTTTACCAACACCACTTCTGCCATCTCTGATAATAATGGTAGCCTATTCATTGATAAATTTATTTTCTAGCCACATGCTTATTCCGGAAAAAACCAAACTCAATAAATTTCAACGGTTCCTATGTCACACGCTCAAAAGATAGCGTAATGGTTAATATGCCTGGCACTGGTTTTGCTCTGACGGGCTTCGATTGCAAAGAGATTCGCTCACCTGAATGTTGCATGCAATGTGTACAATTCGTTGGTTTACGTGTGCGTACACTGTGTCACAATTATTATAAGCAATGATACACAAACGTAATATAATTATTATTATTATAAATAGCAGCAGTAGCAGCAGCAGTAGTAGTAGTGGTAGTGATAGTAGTAGTGGTAGTAGTAGTAGAAGTAGTAGTAGTAGTAGTAGTAGTAGTAGTAGAAGTAGTAGTAGTAGTAGTAGTAGAAGTAGTAGTAGTAGTAGTAGTAGCAGCAGCAGTAGTAGTAGCAGTAGTAGTAGTAGTAGTAGAAGTAGTAGTAGTAGTAGTAGTAGTAGTAGTAGTAGTAGCAGTAGCTGTAGTAGTAGTAGTAGTAGTAGTAGTAGTAGTAGTAGTGGTAGTAGTGGTAGTAGTGGTAGTGGTAGTAGAGTAGTAGTAGTAGTAGTAGTAATAGTAGTAGTAGTAGTAGTAAGTTTTATTTATGAATTGAAAAGTTTCTAAAAATTCATTATAGAAGGTAAAAATTTCTAAATAGATCTTTTCAAGCCAAAAGAAAAAATAATAAAACTATTATACCAGTTTCCCAAAACGTGAGGCTTCTACAACTTTTAGGCCCCAAAATGGCTACAATAAATCTAAAAATAGAGCTTTCATCTGAATAAATTATTATATACTCATGGATATATATATATATATATATATATTATTACCATAAAAACGATTTTATGGCTTTATAGCGTAAACACGAAATTGAAATTGATCCAAATTAATAACTTTATTAACATTATAAGTGTGTGTGCTTGTGGTGCTACGTATTCAACTTTAGTCTTTTTAACATTAAAAATGTATGTATGTGTGTGTCTGTGTGCGGGCGCGTGTGTGCGTGCGCGTGTGTGTAATTCTTAAAAATTTTTACAATTAAACACTTATTTGTGAATGACTTTCTCGCTCTTGCAGATAAAATAAAAAAAGAAAAACTAACAAAAGTTTTTAATAATATCCCTCTCGGTGACTCGAGAGGTTTCCATGAGAAATTGCCCATTAATCTTTTTCCTCAGTGAATAAAATTTACACGCATTGACAGCCCACTTTACAAATGCGGTGTGTGTGTGTGTGTTTTTGTCTGTATGTGTTTGTTTGTCTGTGTGTGTTTGTCTGTGTTTGTGTGAGTGTGTATGCGTTTGTTGAACTTTCTTGAGACGAGATCTTTCTAGCGATAAATAGCAATTACATTTTGGATCAACAAATGTGACTTCTTGTGTGTGTGTGTGTGTGTGTTTGTCTGTATGTGTTTGTTTGTCTCTGTGTGTGTGTGAGTGTGTGTGTTTTTGTCTGTATGTGTTTGTTTGTCTGTGTGTGTTTGTCTGAATGTGTTTGTTTGTCTGTGTGTGTGTGTGTTGGTTGAACTTTCTTACGATGAGAGGTCTTTCTAGTGATATATAGCACAATTACGTTTTTGATGAACCATTGATAATTAATAACTCCTCTTATATAACGCATTACTAGTTAGTTTTAACGCTATAAAGATTAAAGCATTCTTGAAAATAAACTTGACGTAAATATATGAAATTAACACGGAGGCTACAGCCAGCCCAAGCTAGCTCAGCCATAGCATGGATTTTACACTCTTTACGTAGATAAAAATAGATTTTGTGTGATTGTGTGTGTGATTGTGTGTGTGTATGTGTTTGTGTGTGAATGTGCATGTGTTTTTGTGTGTGTGAACTGTATGGACAATTTTAGTATTGTAGGCTTTATATGAATTACTTTTTTTTCATCTCTGCACACAGTTTCTGCATCATCATGATGAACAAGCATATGTATGGTATGGGCGTGTATGTATGCACTTATGTATATTTGGATGAATGTACGTGCGTATGTACGTTTATACGTATTAATGTATGTATGTGCGTATGTGCCTGGCGTATTTTTGTCTTCTTGAATAGCAGGTTGAATGTATGAATGTATAGCAACGTTTGTGTGTTTATTCACATTCATTCGTCAATGGTGTTGCGCAGTTTGTGAAGGCAGTATTTATAGGTCATGCCTCTCTCTCTCTCTTTCTCTCTCTCTCCTTTCTCTTCTGCGTATATATGTGTGCTCTTTGTTTTACTCGGTTCAATTGATTCAACGCCAATTTGGTTTTACGCGTCTTGCCTAGCTGGATGAATTCTTCTTGCGGGGTCATATAATATACGTGGTGAATTCTTGATTAGATAAATACGCCTTTGACGCTAGGAATAAGGTGCGGGTACGTGAAAAATTGAAATTGGGTATTTGTAATTTGAAATTGGTTTTAGTCTGTGAATTTTTCTCAAGTTTTGCAACAACTACACTGTCTTCGTAAAAGCTACTGCTGCATAATTTTGAACGATTGTAACACACGGATTATATATAAAAACTTCAATTAATTCGAAATATAGAATTTAAATATAATAATTATAATAATATAAAGTTATAAAACTTGAAAATTATTTTTTTATTTTGTTGCTATTTATTTTAAAATCTCATTGATGCGTCTGCCAACAATCATTCAAACTGCTCCCACTAGAAACATGGATGTTAGTATTGAACAAATTTGACGATCTTGCATAGATGAATGAATGAGTGATTGATTGATTAGATGAATGGACGGATGAATTAATAATAATGAATTGACAAATGAATGAATGAGCGAATTAATTGGACGAATTTATTTGGCTTTTATTACGTTATAAGCTAACTTTTCCCCACAAAATTTATTTCAATTTCCCAATTTTATCTCACAGATCGAATCGCAATTGAAATGCCTGATCGATGAAAAGAGGACAGTTGAAAACGAAAACATGCACCTCAAGAACATTATTCAATCCCAAACCGACGAAATCTACAACCTTAAAGTCTCTAAGTTAAATTCAATGGTAAGTAATCACGTCAAATTCATCGCGTACGTACACACACATTATTACTATTTTATTAATAATTTCATTTTTTATTTTTTCTAATTCGTAATAATTTTTGCAGAAGGAAATAGATGACCTTAAAAAGGAGCGTGATATCCTAGTCATCCAGCTTCAAACCTACAAGGAAGATTTCAGCCTAGAGAGGAAGGATAGAGAAAGTGCTCAGAGCAAAATAATTGATCTGGAAAGGGACTTATTAAATATGGTAATTATTGTTATAATAATTATATTAGTAATAATAATTATTATCATCTGCTATAATTACGATCAGGTTATAGATGGAATGTTGCACAAGACACAAACACATACATACTGATACACGTACATATTCGCATACACACACATACACGTACACATGTAATATAATATTAATGATATTAGTTGTTTATTTATAAATGGTAATCCCGTTCAATTCAATAATCTCTCAAGTGATAGTAATAAGCATTATTAGTTATTCTGATAAATTTCAGATAATGCTCTATCATGCTTAATATATATATATATATATATAATACTAATTACTAATATATATATATATATATATATATACACATATTTATATATATATATAATACTAATTACTTCCAATAACCAATTATTAATTACTACGTATTACAAACTACTTTCAATTAATAATAGTTAACATAAGCCAATCATCTTTCCAACACTCCAACAGAAACAAAAGTACCAGAATTTGGTGCCATCAGCGAGAATTCCTCAAACAACTCGACGAAATATTGAAGAATCTTTATCAAATGATAATTGCAACTCGGCTATGTTTAACAATGGTGGAATCAGCAATAATAATATTGTCAATTATGACAATACATCCGATGATCTCAATTCTTTCAGCTTCCTTACCAACACTAATCCAAGTGGTTGTGGAATATGTGAGAACCCTTCTCCCAACAGACGTCGTCCGGTTTTCGAAACAGATAATGGCGTTAATCCCAACAGTCAAATCGTTAAAATAGTTAAAAATCAGCCGTTGAAATGTACACAGATAACGCCGAACGATTTCGTCATTCAGGATAGCCGTAACTCGACCGGTATTTCGAATCTGTTTTCAAAGTTTTGCCACAAGAAACCGGTTTACGAACCGTTTTGCTTTGTTGAAGATGGAAATAACTTCAGAGAGCCGTATTTACAAAAGAAAATACAGACTCTAAAGTCAAGATCTTTAATTGACGATAGGGCAAACCGCATAGACACCGACAATCATTCTTCAACTACTGCTAACCTGCAGAATAACATTTCCGACAACGAAATGTCTGCATTCCTAGGAAACAACAACATGTCAAAATTTAATTTATCAAGCTCTGATGAATCCGTCATGCATTGCTACGCCACACCCTTCAAATCAGCAGACACTCATTCCAAAAACCATCCCGAGAAATTTGACGGATGCCCCCAAAATAAGCCGACATCGCAGCAACTACAACCGGCATCTTCTTCAGTTAAGAATATAGACAAAGTTTCGTCTTTTGCTGATATTCCGAACGATGAAATACTGCAATGCCCTGGTTGCTCGAAAAAGTTCCATATTTCTAAGCATTTCGATTTGATTTTGCACAGTGATGAATGCACTGGTTAAGTTAAATTAATCGTTTCTTTATTACTTTATTTCATCTGTTTTTTCGTTTATTTATTCTAAAAATATCTTTAGGATTTTAGTTATATGTCTGTCGTGAAATAATGTAGAGAATTTTCGTGTTTTTTTTTAGGTTGAGACTGTTTCGTGTTAGATTTTTCATAAAATAATATTTTCCTTAAGATATCACATTTTAAATTATTTTTTAAAAAGACACAATAATAAGTATAAAACATTGAGTGTACCTGTTTGTTTGGCTCGTATATAATAACCGATTTTTTAGAGATCGGTAATAAACCGATACCGTTTTTATCGATAACAACACTTTTTTTTTAGAAATAAAACACATCCATCTCTAAACATTAGTAATTTAAAAATGGATTCAACCCGCGACGAGAAAGCTGATAAATTTTCGTGTCAAAATTCTTCAAATTCGTTAAGTAAGAATAAAAAAATTGTTACGAGCAAGTCACCCGTAGAAACAAATAACAAATTAAAAAAAAATTGGATTCGGTTAAATGTCGGGGGCCGAATATTCATGACGTCGAGACTGACGTTAGGTAGGGACCCTGATTCCTTTCTTTTCCGACTGTGCCAAGAAGATTCCGAACTCAAGACGGACGTAGTTAGCGTCAGATGAATGAATGAATGAGGAAAGGAAACATGGCGGCCTACTAGAAGATTATTTTCATTGTATATGACATGACATATAAATAAGCAACCAAATTTTAAAAAAGTTATGAATTATGAAGTAATTAAAAAGTTGCTGAAACAGAATTTGCATAATAATATAAATTATAATAATTTTCAATCATGGACCCACAAAAATTATATCAACTGAACACAAATTATTCAGATAAAAATTTTGTTTTAAACATTCCCAGGACGAATCAGGAGCCTATATGATCGACAGAGATCCTGATTACTTCAGTCCTGTATTAAATTATTTGAGGCATGGGAAGTTAATACTAAACAATGATCTCAATTACGAAGGTACTGATAATGTTTTGGATGTTGAGATAGTGTAATGGTTAGTGTAGTTGATTCTTTTGTTATAGTAACCAGATTCAAATCTAGTCAGTCTGTGCCTTTCATATGCAATGTGTGTTTGAATTGTGGATATATGTGTAGTACCACATGTATCTCTGATTGAAATAATGATTGTAATTTTGCCTATAATATATAATAATTATTTTTATCATAATATTTATATAATAATAATAATTATTATTATTAAAACTTAATGAAGGAGTATTAGAAGAGGCTGAATTTTACAATTTAGCCTGTTTAGTTGAATTAATTAAGCATAGGATGACGGAAATAAATTCTAAAAAAACCCAGGTTTTTTATTGTTTTTAATTATTATAAATAAAATACCCACACAAATTATTTTCATTATTGTAATATATATAGTTTAATTTATCTTGTTTATTATTTGATTTTTTTTATTTATAGCACCATGCCAAAAATGTCTACAGAGTTTTGCAATGGTCCGAGGAGGAACTGGCGCAGATGGTCTCAAACATATCGGATGGCTGGAAATTTGAACAGGTCACAGAAGATTTCATATTTTGTTGTTTTTTTAATGATACTACAATGCTTCAACATTCACTATTTGTGCATATGTATTAGCCTAAATGAATTCTTAATGACTGTTGATAAATTATTGAATTATAATAATTTATTCATTAAAATCAATTTGTATGCATGAAAATTGCTTTTATGTTCATTTTGATTGTTTGAGAGATCAAATGGTAAATCATTCCTATTAGAAGTTTACGCTATCAATGTATGTAACATGCGACAATCTAATCTTAAAATATAATACTGAAACATTTTGATTGGCTGGCCTCTGCTTGCTACCTACTTATTATAATAATTTATTCATAAAAATTGAACAGCTGATCAATCTTGGTTCCTCCTACAAATACAATCTTGAGGACAGGGCTGAGTTTCTCTGTGTAGTCTCAAAGGAGTGCCATACATCAGCCAATGATAACAATGAGTCAGCCGATCGAGGAAAGGTTATGATGATGATGATGGCGTGGTGATGATGACGATGTCGGGGTGAGGATGATGATGGGCTGATTATGATGATGATGTCGTGATGATGGAGATGATGATAATTTTTTTTTTTTGTTTTCTATTAGTCTTTATTATTGCAGCTCTGACATACGCAGAACCACTTACAATGTTACAGATATATTATGTTATCTATATATCTTTTATTATGTTCTTCTTTTCTTCATCTATTGATTTGAAGCAGCCATCTTTGCCACAAAGGCTGTTTAACCTTTTCACACGACGTACACATGTATTTATGTGAACGCGCAAGCACCGCATCATATACGCTGAGTATATGATAGCCATTGAGATGTTTGACTCGGCGAGCATTTGAACCATCGAGCCATCTCGCCAGCCAGCATGCGACAACTTACGTCGTCTACCCATTTACCAACCTCGAAAGGATGGACGGCTGGGTTGACCGGGGGTCGGCTACCCGGATGAATCTGTAGAAACTGCAGAATTCGAACCCCGGTCGTGGGAGTGGTAGACGGACACGCTAACCACTCGGCCATGAAACCCCTTAGGCCATAATGATGACGTTTATTTTCGTTGAGTTTACTCATTATTTTTTTAAAGTGAATTAATTTTTGGGTTTTCAGGTTTTACAGCAAAGAGCTTCAAGGATATAATAAATGGATAGGCGGATGGTTAGAAGAGTGGATGAAAAAATGAAAGAGAATAAATAGATGAATGAATGGATGGATAGATGAATGAATGGATGGATGGATAGATGGACGAGTAAATGTGGGAATGATAATGATGAAGATAGCAACCTTGGTTATGATATTTTAATCATTCGTTCACACACGCCTTTTCTTAGTTTTTGTTTCTTTAATTCAATTTTCTCTTATTTGTTCCTTCAATCTATCCACTATTCTACTGTACGCACACTAATTTTTGTTTTAAGCTAGGTATCTTTGGTATTTTTTCATTTCTTACATAAATGTCCCCAAATTTGCTTGATATATTATGCAAAACTTTGATACCAATATTATATATATATATATGTGTGTGTGTACGTGTGTGCGTGCTTATGTTTATATATCTGTGTGTGTGTGTGTGTGTGTGTGTGTGTTTGTTTTTCACCTATATACACATGTATATCTTTGTTTGAAACAACGAATAATATTTTATAAGTGTCATGTTTCCTTTTGGTATTTGCTACACTTTGCTTTTTCAAACTAGCTGACCATGAAGCGCTAAATAATTTTAATGTATTAAATGGTAATAATTAGTTTGCTTTTATTTTTTATTTATTATCTTTTATAATTAAAATTGACTGACTGCTTAACCAACCAACCAACCAACCAATGATAACTGACTGATGTCGAATGATGTGTCTTTCTTGAAAAGATCTAGTCTACCAAAATAAATTGATTAAAAATATTAATATACACATAACAAATAAATATATATATATTTTACTCTCACACACATATATATATATACATTATATATATATATATATATATATATATATATATTACATTTTATAATTATTAATGTTTTTTCATGTTTAGTATTATTACTATTTAGTTGTAACGTATACAATAGGATTTATGAATTACTTAGGGAAGTACCAGCATAACAAACCATACCCAATCAAACCACCGCACCTTGCTTCACACACACACACATATATATATATATGTATATTTTTATTT